TTGGCATCATATGCAAAATATTTCACTTCGCACCTTTGCATTATTGTCAGAGTGCTTACAACTGATATTTCAATAAGAAGAGATCACTTGGAAGAACTGAACATCATTTATTGAGACAGAAAAACTTTTTAGCAATTAGACTTTGACGATGGTGGTACAAAATCCCAGCACTGACAGGATTTAGGACAGGAGCCCCCCGAAGTCTAGATGCTGGTGGTGCTGAAGATGATGACTACATCCAAGCCTTCTTGGATGGAGCTTTAACTGAGGTGTCTGTGAGGTGGAGATGGGGAGGAGAGTCTGAAAGGGAGAATGACGAGGACACAGATTTAAACCACACAAAGTGGATGCTGATTGGCTCAAAGAAGGTGGGCAAGAAGATGACTGGACTAGAGTAATGATGTCAGTATTGAGACTGACAGGATGGGGAAGCAGTAGTGATGTAAAGACCAGAAAAGCAGCTGAGCACCCAGGAAAGCAGGGAGATGAGTGATTGCAGATCTTTCGTTACTGAACTTACGCACAAGCTTCATTTAACCTGTAAGCGTTTGTAAAACAGGAGTCGCTGAGTGGTTGGATCTCAGAGCTTCAGGAGAGATCGGAGAACATCGAGGACTTGGTGTCAGAGCTGGAGCTTGCCTACAACTCTGTGGAGGTAAAGCATGCTTTAGTTGCTCTAAGCAGCACTGTTAGCTCATGGTAGAGTTTAATCAAAAGCCTCTCTTTGCTGTTCGTCTGGCTCAGGATCAGTTCATAGAGAGCGAGGCGGCCATGAAGGCTCAGAACAAGGAGATGATGGATGTGGTGATGGAGCAGTACAATAACATGTCTGTCAGCATGGAGGAGGAAAAGAAGACCAAGCTGGAGCAGCTCTATGATCAGATTGTCTCCTTCCAGGAGAGCATTGACTCGGCCAAGGCCATTCTGGAGACCGCAAGCAGAGAGGCTGAGACTGAGGCCAGCGTGAGTCCTGAAGCTCCTCGGGTTTATTGCTCATGAGGGTTTGTGTCAAATTTTTAATAAAATCTTCTTCAATCTGCTCCCCCACTAGTCGCCTGAAGACATTCATGCAAGGTAATTTGCTTTCAATTAAAGATTTGGGAATGAGTGTGGTTTCCCAGGACTTTAGTGGCAACCAGTTTGGCGTGCTGCTTGACCTCCAGAACCTCAACCTGTGGAGCATGCCGGTATGCTGGATATTAAAATGCATGAGTGAATTTTTGTTTTATTATTACATATCTAAGAAGCTGTGACAAAAAGTCAAAAAGTGCTAATTTATTTAACCAAAAACATGAATTTAACACCAAAAAGTTTTGCCAAGAGGTGTGAAGGTCAGTATCATCAGAAGACAGATTTTATAATTATACTGATTGCCACAAAATAAAGATCCATGTGGTGTGTGCATGGGTGAGGGTTTCTAACTGATCTACCATAGCATAGAAATATATAACATATAGGCTGCGTTTCCCAGGCATGGATTAAATGCAGTCTTTATAATGGAGATCGTCACTGAATTTTTCTTTAAGGTTAGGTTCAGGCTTAATCTATGTCTGGAAAACTGGATGATAAAGTTGGACAAGTGAGCAGATCGCTCACACTTTAATGCTGATTCACGTTGTGGTTTATGGTCAGGCTTACAGCAGCTCTGGACTCAGCCTCGACAATGGAGCTGGGTCCAAAGGGACTGCTGGTCTTTGAGGACTATGCCAAGGCCAACACTTCAAGCTCAAACCTCGCACAGCGAAAAGGAATCCCAGGTGGGTCTGCTGTGAGCTTACCCTGTGTTTGCAGATCTCATGCTATCACACGTACGTATATGTGGCATAAAGCTTCCTGCTGTGTGTCTCAGTTCCCCAGAGGCCGACACTGCTGCCGCAGGAGCCGGGCTCAGCCACCAGCACCAGCGTCACAGTTTACTGGAAAGTCAACCCTGGAGATATCATAGACTGCTTCCAGGTCTACTGCATGGAGGATCCACAGGGCGGTAAATACTTACAGGATGTTTCTTAAACTGGAAAATTGTGGAAGACTAATAATGATGTTGAACAGTGAACAAATTAAAAGGTTTCTGAGTATATAAATGTAAGGAGGTGTTTGTCTTCAGGGTTACATTTGAGGTGTTTTATATCTGTGGTCCACAGCTGTGTCAGAGGAGTACCGTGTGACAGTAAAGGAGAGTTACTGTGTCCTGGAGGACCTAGAATCTGACAAGATGTACAAGGTTTGGGTGATGGCTGTCAACTATACAGGCTGCTCTCTGCCCAGCGAGAGACTCACCTTCAGAACTGGTCAGTCTGCACGCCGGACTTATAGCAACAGTTATCAGACAGTTATAGTTGTCTGATAAAAAAGTTGAAGAACTGCTTTCATTTTTTCCTGACATGCTTGACAGAATTCAGATTTCTCCTCTGCTATATTAAGACAATGTGCTTGGAAGCAATCTGGCTGTTTGTAGTTTACAGACGAATCAAGAAAAGTCCTGCAAAACCATAAAGGTGTACTTTTCATTAGTTGTCTCTCTCTGGCAGCTCCTTCAGTGCCAGTGATCGACACAGAGCGCTGCAGCATCCTGTGGGATTCAGCTACTCTGAGGTGGAGCTCAGCAGAACGGGCTCCTGGACAGAGTTACACTTTGGAGTACTGCCGACAGTATGAACTGGAAGGAGAAGGGCTCAGGTGGGTGTTAACCAGACCGGTAAGCACACTGACACATGTTACTATACTAGATGTTTATGTAAAATGTTTGTTTGTGCATATATTTTTGCTGATGTGACTCCCAGATCCATCTCAGGTATCAAAACCTGTGAGCAAAAGATTCTCCTGCAGCCCAGTGAGAATTACCTGTTTTACATCAAAGCTGTGAACGAGGCTGGAGCCAGTGAACAGAGCGAGGCTGCACTCATTTCCACAAAAGGTATCAAGAACACACACTTCACAAATCATGTTTAGAAATTTAAAGGATGTACATGACATCATGGGCATGAATGGTACAGTAATGTGGTGCTTTAGATTTCTTTGTATTGTTCTTTTTCCAGGCTGTAATGATGCTGTTGATGTGCAGCATACATCTTTAATGCCTTACAAGAGAACAAGAATTGTTTTGTTTTTTTCTCTAATCCACACAGGGTCAAAAGTATGCATGCAGGCTTAGCAAGTTGCACCCAAGAGATGTTTTTTGGTAGCCATCAATAAGCTTCTGGTATAGTTCTGACTGAATACTACTCTACTTGGCAGAATCGGTAGAGTTCATTTAAATTGGTAAAAAGAACAGTCCACGGAAATCTTGATTATGATGATTTTATGTTCACAGGTGTGCAACCACCCTACAGAATCTCTGCTCCCCTGCTTATGTTTTTATACTGTCTGTTACTTTTGTCTTGAGGGACGAGGTTCCACCTGCTGAAGGCATCAGCTCATCCTGCTCTCCAGCTCTCAGAGAACCAGACCACTCTGCACTATTCCCAGGATGCACACAAAACCGCCTCGCTCACAGACACACAGTAAGTGTAACCCAAGAACACATCCAGTAGACCTTATTAGGAAAACTCTTTTTAAAATCATCGTGTCCTAAAGGTGTCCATCCATCCTTGGTGAGCTGCTGCCAGCACGAGGGATCTATTACTGGGAAACCAGCGTGTCACAAAGTACGGCCTACAGGCTCGGAGTGGCATACAGCACAGCCAACAGAAACAGCTCACTGGGGGAAAACAGCCTGTCCTGGTGTTTGCAGTGTACTCCCTCACCATCAGGGTAAACATAAGGAATTTTCACCCATTGCTGTGATGTTTCTGATAGTTTTGGTCTTTAACTTCCACTTTTCTCTGTCTTTCTGCCCCTATAGTTTCAGGTATCAGTTACTCCATAATGATATTCAGTCCAGCGTGTTTGTAACTGAGACGCCTGACAGAGTGGGCACTCTCCTGGACTACCAGCTCGGTCGTCTGTCTTTCTACAATGCCCAAAGCGGTCAGTTATTAGGCACCTTCAGACAGAACTTCACTCAGCCATGCCAGCCCGCTCTGGCTTTGGAGTTGCCTGGCAGCCTGGAGCTCAGCATGGTGCTGGTGGTGCCGGAGTTTACCAAGGACAGCTAGCTCTGCTAGTAGCCTAACACAGTGGAGAGTTTACAGGTCACGATGGACTCTTAAAATGTTGAAGAATAATGTAGAAGAGATGATTCCTCTAAAGCTAATATATGGGTTTGTGTGTTGTTAGCTGACAGAAGAACGATCACTTCAAGCATCCTTGGGTTTCTTGAAAGGTGGAATACAAATCTAAGTTATTATTATCAGTACTTCAACCACATAAAGCTTTAAAAGCTAGTTTTCTGCAATTGAATTCGAATTTTATTTGTATCTAGGTAAAAAAAAAATACCTAAAAGGGACACTTTCAATTTAGAAAATAGAGCTTCTATTTCATATAAATGGATTCAAATTAAGTGCTTTGATTTATTTCCCCCATTGATGAGCGAGAATGAAAAATGAAATGTGAAAAATGTTATAATTCTGAACCAAACATGTGACAATCTTTTACTGTTTTTGTAAACGTTTTTCTAATTTCACCCAGTTCATTCAATCCCTTCACCACAGATGCTGTTAGTAAATGCTCTAATAACATATAGACATCTGAACACAACCTCTGCATAATTAGTCCTTCAACAAATTATTACTCAAGGTTTTTTGGGGTTTTTTTTGTCACCACAAAGTTTTGGACTGAGTTTGTGTCTCCAAACATACACTGTGGCACTTTTTAAACTGTTTCATAATGTGAATATGTTTGTTTTGTGTAAATAACCTTTTTAAAGAGATGTAATCAGTTCTTTGTTTCTTATGTGTGACTGTCAACAAATGCAGATCAGCTGTTTTTCTTCTTCTGTCTTGTAAAAATGGATTTTTCTGGTCTGAAAGAACATGATTGTTTTTCTATCTGCTCAACTGAACTAATTGGTTTGACTCATTTACCATCCAGCCATCCTCCCCTTATCAGGTTCAGGGTTTGATGAAGCCTGTCTCAGCTGTCACAGAGAGGCAGAGTACACCCTGGACCGGACACCAGCGTGTTGCAGGGACTGTCGGAGGAAGCTCCACATAGAAAGGACCCTTCATTTGAACCAAACACCTCTGTGCTGCAGATGTGTTTTGACTCATTTTCCTAATAATATGTCACCACTAGGGGGCCTTGGTGCTCCGTTAACTGTATTACTGTCTTTTTAAAAATAATCTTTCTGGAAGTTAGGAGAGAACTGTAAACCTGATCTGAACCAAATGACCACAGAAAGAAACTGAAATCTAATAATTTTCCAGACAAGCTTTTTTTCTTTTTTGGTCTTTGTCCTAAAGATCGCATTTCCACCCATATGTATTTGTTACTCCATTTAGACTTTCAAATCCCCTTTTATAAGCAGGTTTGTGAGCCACAAGTGGTCATCACAGTTACATGCTTTTGGAGAGGACATTCGCAGTTATTGCATCATTATTTTCCAGGCAATCACACCCTTTCCCCCTTCTCACTCACCTCTGACACCTTTTATCATTTCTGGGAAAATGGAAAGAGGGAGGGAGCAGAAATGTGGAGGGTACACACATGCAACACATCAGTGACCAGATGCTCCATGTGATGTACTGGATTCTTCGGCTGGAACCTGGAGAAAAGCCCTCTGAAGAGGGACAGCCTTCCTGTGGTGGACAACACTCTGCTGGAGCCACCAGATTTTTCTCGATGCTATTTAATATTACTTGACAAACATATTGTTCCAGCACAGAAAGGCAGAAGATGACTGAAATTTCTAACAGATCCAAAATGTGGTATTTATTTCCAGCTACTGCACCCGCTTCCCAAACCATCCAGGAGAAATCTGAGCAGGATACTCGCCTTCATGTGACCGACTTGGACAATACCTGGAGTCAAGTATGCGTCGTTTCCTCTCAGCTTTCTCTGCGATTAATTTTTTCCAGGCTGAAGGCCAAAACCAGACAAAGAGCCCTCTATCCTCCCAACATCTAAACAAATGATCACAGTCAGTCAGAGAGGTACGGCAGGCAACAGAGAAATCTTCTGTAATTGTTACTGGAAAAACCCAAAAGCGTGCCTTGATGCGTTGGCTTGGTTTGAGGATGGAGGAAAGATCAGCATTCAGAAATTAAACAGGATGGCGAGAGTCTGTGAGAAAGTTCTTGTCTGGTGTTAGAGGACATTTTGACTATTGTTCAATCACGCCACAATATTCAACAATACTGGGGGGGAAAGCCAGAAACCGTTTTTATCATATATGTAATTTAATAGACACTTACAGATTGTGAGCAACAGAAATTACAAATATAATTTTGGATATATGTATCAAAATGATGAAGGACACAGTTAGCATGTTGACACTTGTACAAGACACGAGAAGTCATGAAGGCACACTTTTCCCTTATGGTCCTTACAAGACGGCTGACCAGCATCCTCCCCCCCCAGCACATCTGTTTCAGAGCACGGTGCTTTCAAGGGCATGCAGCCATGAAGTGAGTTTTTGAAGGTCTGAAGTGAAGAGAAATCATATAAAGGAATCACACGGAGTACAAACACTTTATCGAGGGAATTTCTAACTTTGTGGTCCAAATTATAGTGTTAAAAAAAAACAAACAAACCAAGATAACTAATGAGACATTTCCAACCCTTTCAGTCTGTGGCACAGGAAATTATAGCAGCACAAAATTGAAACAAAACTGAGCGAAAATGGTAGCGGGAAAAAAGAAAACGAAAGCAACAGCAGACGTGAGTATTTTCTTACAGCCACATGACATCGTGAACAAAAAAAACATGATCCTCGGGTCACACACAAATATAATGCATGGATGGCCCTTCTCTCACCTTCATGTGTCTAGCAACAACATTTTGAACAAGCTGCTCCTTTTTAGAGGAAACAGGAAGTCAATTATCCTCATAACAATATTTACAACTGTACACTCTGTACACAGCAGAGGAGCTGAAACAAAGTTAAATAAGTTAAATTAGTTACTCTTATAGTCATGTCCGCGCACATACTGTACATTACACCCATTCAAATGTGAACAGAATTTATGGAACATTTTAAAGTGGACACGAGGAAGGTACTTAAAATAGATCCTTGGTGGTAAAACATGTTAAGTGCTCTAGCTTAAAAGTGCTCTACTGTAGTGACCAAGGTCTCGAAGGTGTCCTTTAAACGAAAGAAAAAAAAGAGTGAAAAGGTTAAAAGAAAATCTGCCGAGTGGTCCACATTCAGAGGTTAAACTGTGCTGCTGATTTTCCCTGCTGAACTTTTTCTTTGAACTTTCTGTGTCTTTCTCATCAAGCACCACTTCACAGCAATCCATCGCTGACCACATACATGCACGCTTTTTTTCTTTTTTAAAGCCTCACATGCACTGTCACTTCTCTTCCAAACAAAATCTCTCATCGTTATCTTAAAATAGCCTCTTGTATTTATATAGTTATGCTTCCATTCATTTTTTGTTTGTTTGTTTTTTAGAGTCATGTTCTGAACAGCATCTTATGTGTGCAGGGCGCTGCTCTGCGATTCATAGAGATGGAGCAGGATTTAAAGGTCAGGTGTTAGGCAGGAGTAGAGCTTTTTGCACTGGACAGACTGGGTTTGGGCTCTGGTCTGTGGGGTTTGTGCTGTGGGCTGCTGCGCAGGTTGTCATCCATCTACAGCAAAAGGATGTACAGTTTAGTTAGTGCCCACAAGCACAAGCGAGAAATGAAAACACACCAGAAACACGACTGAGATGGTACCTGCAGAAAGCAACTATGAACCCATGCAAAAGAAGAGAAAAAGGAAAGCAGAAGCACCTTTTCTATCAGATTGGACTCTTTGTTTACAAGCTGAGTTAGTTTCTGGAGGTTGGCATCCATTGTTTCCTGAACAGGTGGGAGAGGACCTGGAGAGAGATCAGGCGAGGGAGCACAGACAGAAGAAGAAGAGGAAAAAGTAGAAAGCAGACAGTGAGTGAAACAGGAGCCGTGTTAGACCATTTAACACCCAGAAGTAAAACCAACAGAAGAAAGAGAAGAAAGAAATATGTGCGAAGAATTAAAGTGCTGATGATGTTCTGTGCAAAGATGTTAGTTGTTTCAAGCGCTTAAAAAGTAAAAGCTATAACCACTATAGAGTATTACCAGCTTGTGCAGCAATCTTACAAAAGTGGTCCGAGCTGAAGTAGACTGCGAGGATGTTGTCACAGAAGCCTGTAAGGTTATCCAGCTGTCTGAGATGGCTCTGCAGAGGGCTGCTGGGAAGACTGGCTTTATGAAGGGGAGCCAGGAAACCAAACGCAAAGGCATCCAGACTGGTCGGCCTAAGAGCACAAACACACGCATGTACAGAAACATACACTCAGACATGTCAGGACTTGACTTATAGAAGGTCTTCATAAACCCTCAATCAGAAAATCTGTGAAGCACTTTTTCCCTGCACAAAATAGAGCTGCGAGATTAATCAACTTTTCATTTAAAATTTCGCCTTCATGACAAATTATGGAAAACAAAAATGATGCTTAAAATAAAATATTTTGCTGTGATAAAATATTCCTGATGTTGTTTTTCTCCTTCCTAAAAACTTAAACTCACACAGTGTTTAATTCAGCTTGAGCCAGGATGATGGGAAAAAAGTATTTTATTAAAAAGAGCGATCACAAAGGAGTAAAAGTTGTAACCAGACTTCTATATATGAGCTAACATGGGATCTGTCCTCATCAGCACTTGCAGGCTCATGTGGTGGAAGCTCAGGCCGGTGGTCACTCCATTCTGGGCTAAAATGCTGACACGTGCTACCAGAGAGTAATGAGAGGGCAGGAATCGAGCACGCTACAAGAACCAGTGTCGATCATCACCAGTCAAGCCCTCACATGGAGCCCCCAAAGGGAGGAGAAAGAGAGGACAGCCAATAAACACTTGGTGAAGAGTACTCCAGCTAAACACCCAGAAAACCTACATAGGTGAAGGACTAAAGAATAAAGAACTTTGTTTATTCCATGTATTCATTTTTAATATGTTTTCAGCTGAATTGAAATCCAAGGAAAAGCAAAGATAAAAAAGTTCTCAAATAAATCAGAATTATGCGAGTTTTTCAGGTTTTTTTAGTCTATTCTGCTTCCCCATAGCAGTCTAACTGTGGAGTGTATGAAAGCTTCTCTAACTAAACACAATAAGTATGCAAACACTGGAGAACTCACGAGTTGCCAAAGAAGAAGTTAGCTGTTCCCAGTCTGTAGGAGAGCAAGTTCAGGCACTCTTTAGCATCACTGTAGATCTACAGGACACAGAGAGAGAGACACATTTACATTTCTGAAAAAACAGAATCTCACTCCAGGCGAAGTTTAAACTGTGTCTAAGCGATGCATCGGTACAGAGCGGCGTTTACCTTTCCCTCCACCTCAGAGATTCTGTGCAGCGGCGCCTCTCCTGTGGTTAGAAGGATGCGGGAGAGGGCGCCGCTGGCGAGACGTCCTGGTACGAAAAAATTCAGCGGGAACGGCGAGCGTGAGGCGAACCAGGGCCGTGTTAGATTGGAGTAATTTTCTGCATCGACCCAGAACGTGTGCAGCTGTGGGACGCAGACATCACCCTGTTAGCTTACGACCACATGTTGTCAGGGAAACGGCAAAAGGAAAGACTTACCAGAGCTGGTCGCAGCTTCTCCTCCAGCAGAGCGATGTAGGCCATCGTGTCTGCTCCTTGTCTGGCTGTCAGCTCATAGTCTGCATTAAACCTCTGTTTAAAAAAAAAAGATGTAGAGATTTATAGATTTGGCTAAACAGTTTAGGACACATGCCGAAGAAGCAGGCACACTCACTTGTTTCCTCAGAAAGTTAAGAATTTGTGTTGGTTCTTGAACTGCAGTGTCGCCACAAACCAATTCTGGGACAGTCACTGTGATTAATAGAAAACACACATTAAAGTTGGGTATTACAACTGACTAATGTCTTATTAAAGACAATCAAGTTCATCATGCTCAATGTAATTTACATTTACCAGCCACAACGGGGAGGCTGGTAATGCTTTAATCATGTGTGTGCGTGCTATCAAGGAAAAATGCGGTCTCTCGAGAAATAAACTGTGGGAAGAACTGCCTCAGAGATGGCTCTGAGTACTCTGGCAGGCGTTTGCACGGAAGAGTTTGTTAAGTCTGTGCCACAACCGTGCAAGACGCAGTCGCAAAACCTTTGCAAGTGTGCTGCATGAACAGATGCATGAACAGATGCAAATATTTTAAAAGAATGCATGAATTATGCATTCTTTATAACTATATGTACAGTTATATATTCTTTTATGGGTTCACTGATTCTCTGTTTAAGGCATGCAGAGCCTAAAACTGTAAGACTGTGTTTATGGGAGGGTGCAGCCCACCTGTAATTGTTTTCCATGTCCAGTCTATTGGAGAAACTGCGACTTCTGCCCCAGAAAACTTGGTGTATGCCTGAAAGAAAACACAGGTTAGGGAAGGTTTTTAAAAAATATATCACTTATAGTTCAAATGTAATGTTATGTTGGAACAAATGATCTAAGAGCAAAAGTACTACAGGATACAACTACTTTCAGGGAGATGAGTACTAGACTTTTTAGAGCCACAGTGCAGGACTGTGACACTTTAATCAAAGTTTTACACAATCTCAGTCTTGTAGTACAGATGAAAGCTCGCCGCAACCAAGCAGGACTTTGGCATCGACTGCAAATTCTAATTTGGCACAGGGACACTATGATTACAGCGCTCACCTTCAACAGCTCCAGAGAAAGAGAGAAAACGTAAATAAAATAACAAAAATTAGAAGAAAATTTAAAAAGGCATCAAAATAAAGACCAGCAGGTGCAAAGGTTAGGGCTACAGGGGACTATTGTAAAGGCGTGTCATTCCACCATCTTTTAAAAAAACTGGGGCAGATACAGATATCTACTTTTGTTCTATTCAGATTTAACTATCAATTGATTTTTTTGGTGTTTTTTCGGTACAACTTGGCATATTTGTTCAATCCATCATGAAAGTGGAATCAAAATAACATTTTGTGACTAAAAGTTTAGTGCTAATAAAAAATACTATACATGTTTTATTTAGCAGTATGTAACTTCATTGCATTCAGAAATTTTCACTAGTTGTCTTTTGCAATGTGAAGGTTTTTTTTTAGTGTGTTCTCAAATATGAGAGTGTACAGGACAGCTTTAGCTTAGTTTTTCAGATTTTAGCTAATCAATATTCACACAGAGATATTCATGTTCAAACACTGGTTCGGATTTTTTTAAATGGGTTGACGCACCAGTTTTCACAAAAATATATCTTGAAACACAAAGCACAAGTTTCAAACTGATCATTCTACATGTTCAAACTTTGAACCATAAAATGTTTAGGCAAATTTGATGATTTGAATCGAAGAGACCCAGCTGCAAAAACCTTTTAGTAAAAGAAAGTCACTTTCAGTGTTTACAATGATCTACAACACACCAAACACAAAACAGCAAATCACAACATACTATAACTAAACCATAACTAAATCAATACATAATTATTTTCTAAATCAAGAAAGGTTTGCCAAAACAAAATGATGCATTCAAAACAAAAAAATTCCACATTTGCTTCCAAAAACATTAAACTACATTAAAACTTCTGTTTTTAAATTGAGTAAAAGGTTCAAGAAGAAATGAAGAGGGCACACTCTGTCCTGCTCCTTCGTACGATTAAATTGTAAGGCTGTTGAAGCCATCAGAGTCAAGAAACAAAATGATTCCATTAAAATCTGACATTTAAACTAAGAAAAAGTGTCACCTTGTGGCAAGAGCACCCAATGACAGATAACATGTTAGCAGCAAAAAACTGTTAATTTTCGGACGGTGTTATCAGGTTAGCTATCATCTACGGCTTTTTAGCGAAAATCCTTCAAATACACCTGAAAATATTAATATTTTTTTAATCCGAGGCTCAACCAGCTGACCTTGAGAGATCACAGCTTTTCAAACAATGGGAGTGACTTATGACAGCCAGCTACACATGAAGGACAAACCCTGCAGCCAGCACAGCCGTGACTCTGTGCTTGGGACATGAAGTCCAGCTGGACACGCTGTTATTTTCTATCCTGCACATCGATGCGGCTAACTTACCAGGCAAGCTGCAGCAGGTAAGTTAGCACGGAGGCTAACCACAAAGGACGAGAGAGGAGACGAAAAGCAAACCGGAGACGTGACGTGCCGTTTTAAAAGCGGCTCCAGGTGCACTGAGCGTGTTGTGTTTGTAAACAGGCTGTGAGCTTACCAGAACTATGAGGGACTCGGTGTGAACAGAAGGCAAACCCCAGTCTCCTCCCCAGCATCTCAGCTCCATGGCAGCCGCCATGTTTTGGTTCATTCAACGGGACACTGACGTCACGGGGTACCTTTCACATCAGAGCCTCCAGGGTTAAAAAAAAAGGAAGGAAGGAAGGAAGAAACAGAAAAAATCAAGTCACATAACAAATATTAAGCATTTTTCTGTAACTCTTTTTTAAAATTATTAATTATTTTATTTATTGATTCATAATTCAGTACTGTTCTTTTTTTTTCTTTTAAAAAAGCGTTGTTTTTCAGCCAAATTATTTTAAACAAAGATACTGGCCCAGCTTCTTCATGGCTGCTTCCACAGTGTGAAACAGTCTCTGTGGGACTGCAGGTCACATGGCAGCAGCACTATGTGTTTAGGCACGTACCATAGTCAGCTTGGGGAAGTTCAAACCAATTATCAGAGTGAAGTAGAAAGGAGATTGCATGGTGGCATGGTGGCAGACATGCTGTCATTTATTTTCCCCCACACAACCATCTCTGGGGTTTACAGAGAATGGTCCAAAAGGAAGTGAGCAGCAGTGCTCTGGGTGAAATTACCTGGTTGGTGTGAGAGGAGAATGACCACACTGATTTGAGCTGACAGGGAGGAAACAGTAACAGTGAAGCCAATAACTTTTTCTTTTTTTTTATCAGCGAGGTATGCAGAAGAGCATTTTTAAGACATAGTACTTTGAAGCCTTAAGGCAGGTGGGCTTCACCAGATACCTCGTCTGTCAGCTAAGAACAGGAAACTGAGGCCACAGTTCACATGGACTCACCAAGATTGTACAGGGAAAAACAGGTTGCCAGGTCTGATGAGTCTTTACTGCTGACACATTCGGATGGAAGGGTAAACAGAACGAAAGCACTGATCCATCCTGCCTTGGATCAACTGTTCATACTCCTGGTGGTGGTGTAATAGTGTTGCAGATATTTAGATATTTGGCACACACAGATGGTTCCTGGTACTTACTGAGTATCGTTTAAATGCCACAGCCTACCGGAGTATTGTTGCTGATCAGTGTGCCCATTGTCGGATGGCTGCTTCCAGCAGGATAACAAGCCATGTCACAAAACTCAAATCATCTCAGTTCTTCAGCATGATAGTGAGTTCAGTGTACTCAAACAGCTCTCAATCCAGTAAAGCATCTTTGGGATGTCATGGTTTGGGAGAGTCACATTCGATATTTGCAGCAACTGTGTGATGCTATCATATCAATATAGACCAAAATCTCTCAGTAATGTTTCCAGAAGCTTTTTCAATCTATGCCACAAAGGATTAATGCTGGTGAAGGCAAAATGGGGTCCAACCACCTTCTAGCAAGTGGACAGTGAGTGTATATTATACAGCAGCTACAGTAGTTCTTAATTTATCCTTTATTTGTTTCTTGCCTTGCTCCTTAGATACTTCCAGGCAAATTTGGAGCTATGGTGATGAGGTTAGCAAGAAAAGCAAATACTCAGTGAATAAATGTTAATTGTAATTAAACTCTTTGATCAGCAACTAAGTCATGTGGTTAATGTTTCTCCAGTGTTTTATGCTGCTATTATGGCAATACTTCAGAGCCAGAAATGACATGCTGAAAAAGTCATATCACTCAGTTTCTCTTTAATGTTCTCTAGTTTCATACATTTAAAACAGCAATCTGTCACGAAACACTGATTTATTAAACAGCAGCAATGGAACAAGCAATCGTTTCATATTTAGATTTCCATGTAAAGTAGTAATTTCCATTTCAGTGTTATTTTATTGATTATTATTTTTACCCGCCAGAGCAAAACGTCTGTCCAAGAGCTGATAGGCAGACTGTTAAAGACTGCCAGGTGTTTGTTCAAAGGCCAAGCAGCCAGACACAGGCAGATGTACCGCAATAACGCACCGAGGGATGGTAAATGTCTCTCACTGGCTCGAACCAGCAGCTGAGATGTTGAAATGTACTTGAGGTTAGTTAAAGGAGAAAGCATTAAGACGAGCACCAGACATCTATCATCAAATGTTTCCAGGACTGAAAACTGCCCCGAGCCTCGCCCTCTCTGCTCCTCCTTTCCTGCATTCTCCTTCTCAAAAGAAGCTTCGCAGAGGTACAAAGAACCCGTTACATTAAATCAGTTTAAAATTAAAAACATCTGCTGTAGATTTATGCAGTTCAGCTGGCTTACTGAGGATGGGCCAGGGCATCGGATCCTCGTTTATGGCACACATTCATGATGTTTGTGAAAATATAACAACAGCCAGCTGGAACCAAAATGTTCCTCCCTTGAGCTTCACAGGCATCTGGTTGGCTGTCTCTATACAGTGTGATTTAGAGCACTTTTCAGCTACTTTATTACAAATCCCCCAATGTAGCATGACTCTAAATAAAAAAATGGGTCATAAATACATAAATCCCACACACATTTAGCTCGTATAGTATGTGGAGAGAAAAAGTCTGACAGTCATTTTCAGAATCAAACAACTTTCCAATTCCCTTTTTTAGTTTTACATTTCTTGTTTACAAATTATTTAATCATAATTGCTCTAGCAAGGGGACACTCCCCCACCCAGACTATTAAAATGGTCTCTTCACTGTGCCACTTTCGTAACAGTAGCGGACACTCCCCTTTGCTTTAAAGGCTGCGGCTGTGGACACAAGACCATCTCACCTCTGCTGAGATTTTGGTTCAAGATCTGGAGTTTTTATTTTCAGCCTGTGTGAGATCAGCTTATTGATCTTCAGGAGGACAGTTCAGAAACAGGACTTCTTTTGAGGTGTGCCCCCCCTTTGAAGCGCTGATGATTGGTATGTGCGTCAGAGCGGCAGCTCTGTCCCTGCTGCTGCAGCATCTGGTGCTCACTGTCACAGCTCAAGGTGTTGGTAAGTGCTGGCGGCATCTCGCTGTGCATGCCATTCTGCAAAGCATGACATATTTTGTTTCTGTGTTCTTTATATGTTAAACTTAATCTTTTCTGCTGATATATTCCTAAAAAGCTTTTGTTTGAAAGTGAGTTGCACAAAAAAAGGGAGGGAGGGGGTAGCTTTGGTGATGATGATTGCTGGAAATTAGGTTGGCTTTTTTGTGGTTGTAGAGTTTTATGTCCAGGATCCAGAACAGTCTGACCTAAATAAGGTGGTAGAAGGACACTAACCGTCATCTGAGAACTGCATTTGCAAATCTTTGATTTTCCTGGAATCTACATGCAGATCTTTCCGTGCAATTTCTAGTCACTTTGTATTATTACTGAAATTCCACTAATGGCAATGTGAAAGTGTGTGAGTGGGTGTTTGTGTGCGTGAGTGTGAGGCAGCGGGTTTGTTCCAATGGAAAAAGTTTACTGCTGGACCTTTCTGCAGCTCCCGTCTACCACACCATAAAAACACACAGCAGGGTGCTGACATGAATGCACACATGTGCACACGCGCAAACACACATACACAAGTACACTGTGACACATAATAAAACACCACAGTGCACTGACTCAGCAGCAGCAAAACAAAGTGTGCTGGGAGTTGCAGCCAATAAGACAAAATACTGAAAATACTTAGATGAACTCGTCATTTGCTTTGTTTTAAAAATATGTCTTTTCTCTTAAGATTTCTTCTCACAATCGTGGTATAGTGCTAATCCAGTGTTCTCCTTCCTGTGTTAGTCTACGACCTGCTGGTGTCACCAGACTGTCTGCCAGACTTGCTCCAAGGAAGCTTGAAGAACAAAGGAAGAGATGAGGCTTTCCTGCTTTCGTCCTTTAGGCTCCACAGCAAGGCACCCACCTCTCTCTTCAGTGTCATCAACCCCACAGACAACACTAAATACCTTGACCTCACCATGCAAGCCAAACTGAGCAAAGGTGAACACTGACACATACTGAGGAGCCTGTGGCAAATACAGGCCACTCTATTCTTTGTTTTAGCTTCTTTACAGCTTTCATTCAAGCATCTCTATATCTGCAGTGACTGTTCGTTACCAGAAGACTGATGGCAGATTTGGTACAACCAGTTTCAACCATGCATCCCTGGCAGATGGACAAGAGCACCACGTGATGCTCCATGCCAGCGGTCTACAGCGTGGCCCTGGTCGTGTTCACATCTATGTAGACTGCAGGCTGGCTCACACTTTGGATGGTGTGCCAGCCGCGTTTGGGTCACTTCCACAAGGTCCCAACAAGGTGGCACTCAGGACGCTGCAGTCAAGAGGACAGGTGAATGAGAAGTTTGTAGCTGAGAAAGAAAGAAAAAAGTACTGACGATATGGTGCATGGAAACAAAAACAGTGACGTTTCAAGATCTCATTTTGAGTATATTATTTTGAATAAGAAATAACCCCATGCTTCTCTTCAGCCCGGCTGACAAAGAGTCAGAGCTCCGTTGAACTGAATATTCAGTTGTATTGTAACTGTAACCAGTAATGACTCCATGAATTTCTTTAAAAATAACATTTCAATAATTAGAGAAAAAAATTACTCGCAACCATCTCACAGATGTATCATTACATACAGCTGCTTTCAATACTATTGATATTTATTTAGAGTTTTTCCCTCTGATCTTTTTGGGTCAATGCCAGTAATTACTTACTCCAAATCATCAACATGTCCTTTAGACCCCGTTCCTACAAGAGTGCTCAAAGAAGTCCTACCATTAATTAATGCTTCAATCTTAAATACGATCACCCTATCTCTATTAATCAGCTCTGTACCACAGGGCATCAAGCTGGCAGTAATTAAACAGTTACTTAAAAAAAATCACTTCACTTAGTTATCTTAGCTAATTATAGGCCAATCGCAAACCTTCCTTTTATCTCTGCCATGGCAAGTAAGATGAGCCGTGTGGAAGTAATAAAGGAGGATCCAAACGCAGTCTCTTGTAAAGGTGTGAAGGTGGTTTATTAAACACAAAATAAAAATAGACAAACGGAGAATGAACTAAACTATACTGGGAACAACTAACTACTGAACATGAAGGAAGCTAGACGATGGTGACAGCAGGGAGACCACACGACTGGAACATGGTAGAAACACAGATGAGCCAGCAACTACTACAGCAGAAGACTCAGGGAGATTACACACAGGTGGGGGACACAGCTGGGAGTAATTAACGAGACGAGACAAGGGAGGTAATCTGAACACACCCACATGAGACGCAGACCTTCACAATAAAACAGGAA